TGTTGTTATTGCTGCTGTTGCATTTTAATCCAGGATCTAATCAAAGTCACTGTTGCATTTCATTACTATGCTTCTTTTACCTTTTTTAAACCACCTTTTTGTTTTGTTTTATTATTTATGACATTGATTTTTGGAAGGGCCCAGGAAAGTCATTTGGCAAGATGTTTTACATTCTGAATTTGTCTGATTGTTTTCTCATGATTAGATTTAGGTCTCACATTTTTTACAATACTCCATGGGAGATGTGTGTGTTTCTAATTGCATCATATTAGCAGGGAAATAATGTCAGGTTGTCCTACTCTTTGTGATGTTAAATTTGGCCATTTGGTTAAGGCAGTGACTTTCAGGTCTCTTCATTGCAATATAGTTTTCACTTTGTTATTAGTAAGTAATCTGTGGTGAAACTTGGAGATTGGGTGAATATTGTGTTTCCCAACTACATTTGACACAATGGCTTTACTATCCATTGATGATTTTTGCCTGGTTCAGTTAATTCGGTGAGAGTTGTAAAATAGAAATTTAAAAAAATATTTTCTTTTATTTATTTTTAGAGAGAGAGGGAGGAAGAGAAAAAGAGAGAGAGAGAAACAGTGATGTGAGTAATATCAATTGGTTGCCTCTTGTATGAGGAACCTGCAACCCAGGCATATGCCCCTGACTGGGAATCAAACTGGTGACCTTTTGCTTTGTGAAACAACACCCAATCAACTAAGCCACACTGGTCAGAACAACATGGCAATTTTTAAATCTCACATTGATTTGCTAATATTCTTTTGTAAAGAAGTTTTCCCCCTTTTCCATTGTTCCCCTTTCTCTTCTCCATATGAGCCGTAGGATTAAAAAATTAAATGTTATAAATTCACATTGTCAATATGTCATAATGCTCAAATTGTCCAAGTTTGACCAGTAGGAGCCTAAGAGGCAAATTTTCTAACCTGGCACATTGTTTCACCAAAGGAAATTGGGGTTCTGTTTTAATGAAGGAGCAAATGGTTATTGGCCTGCAACTAGGGGGTCTGTAATACCTTATCTCTCCAAAGCCTCCATTTCCTAAGCTTTAGAATGGGGTAATAACTCTCTCAGGATAATTTCCAGAGCTAAATGAATTGGTCATGGATTAAATGCATGGAAGGCACGTTTGCCAGTGTCATAGAGCCTGGCACAGAGAAGGCATTAAAAAAAAAAAGAATCTCCCTTCCTATTCTTCCTTATGCCACGGCCTTTGTTTAAATTTCTCATCTGAGTTCTGGCCAAGATGAAGGCATAGGTAGAAACCCTTCACTTCCTTGCACAACCAAAAGAAAGATAACAATCAATCTAAAATCAATAAACAACCAGGAATGCCAGAAAATCAAACTGCATGGAACTCCAAGAACCAACAAATTAAAGAAAAAGTTAACCAGAACAACCAGACTGATAAGAACCTGAGGCCTCGGACCTCACAGGCAGGGCTGGCTGAAGGCAAAACTGAGACTCAGAGTTGACTTTGGACTATGGTGGTTGTCCCGGTGGGAGAAACTCACAGTCTCACGTTAAATCATTGAAAGGTGGAGCTGAGCAGGAGACCTGTGTTGTTCCCTCTCTGGTGCCTCCCCCACAGGCAGTGCTGAAGCACAGCAAGGAGGGTTGTTCCACCCCTTACAACTTAACAGGTGTGCCAAGACAAAGAAATATGGCCCAAATGAAAGAACAGAGAAAAACTTCAGAAAGAGAGCAAACCTATCTGATGGAGAATTAGAAACCCTACTAATTAAAATGCTCACAAATCTGATTGAGCTTGGTCAAAAAATGAAAAAAACTGATGAAAGATACCCAAAATGAAATAAAGCAAACTATTCAGGGAACCAACAGTGACAGGAAGGAAACCAGGACTCAAAGCAACAGTTTGGAGGAAAAACCCAAAAGGAAAAAAAATAAACATCAAACAAGAGGAGAATGAAGAAACAAGAATTCAAAAAAGTGAAGAGAGTCTTACAAACCTCTGGGACAACCTGAAATGTTCCAATATCCAAATTATAGGGGTGCCAGAAGGAGAAGAGGAAGACCAAGAAACTGAAAACCTATTTGAAAAAATAATGAAGGAAAACTTCCCCAATCTGTCAAAGGAAATAGAATTCCAGGAAGTCCAGGAAGCCCAGAGAGTCTCAAAGAAGTTGTACCCAAAGAGGAACATATCAAGGCACATCATCATTAAGTTACCCAAGATTAAAGATAAGGAGAGAATCTTAAAAATAGCAAGAGAAAAGGATAGAGTTACCTACAAAGGAGTTCCCATTAGACTATCACCTGATTTCTCAAAAGAAACCTTGCAGGCAAAAAGGGGCTAGAAAGAAGTACTTGAAGTCATGAAAGACAAGGACCTACATTCAAGATTACTCTATCCAGCAAAGCTTTCCTTTAGAACAGAAGGGCAGATAAAGTGCTTCCTAGATAAGGTCAAGTGAAAGGAGTTCATCATCATCAAGCCATTATTATATGCAATGTTAAAAGGACTTAACGAAGAAAAAGAAGATAAAAAATATGAACAGTAAAATGACAACAAACTCTCAACTATCAACAAATGAACCTAAAAAAAAGAAAAAAAAACAATAAAAACAAAAACTAAACACACAACTAGAACAGGGACAGAATCAGAGAAATGGACATCACATGGGAAGTTTTCAGTAGGGAGCAGGAAGGGAGGAATGAGGGGAAAAGGTATAGGGAAGAAGAAGCATAATTAGTAGGCATAAAACACAAGGGAAGAGATAAAAATGGTATAGGAAACAGAGGACTCAAAGAACTTATATGTACAACCCATGGACATGAACTGGAGGGTTGGGGGGTGCAGGGCAGAGGGGCAGTAAAGGGGGAAAATTGGAAAAACTGTAATAGCATAATCAATAAAAATACATTAGAAAATAAATTTCTCATCCTACTTTGCACTTATGTTGCATTATCTTCACTTGTTTGCAGTTCAGTTTTGTTGTCTGTGAAACAGGGACACAGAACTTGTTGAGTTTTCATGAGGCTTAGCTATGTGGCTGTCAGTGTAAGCCCCTCTCTAAGTCTTGTGAAATTCCAATTCTCTCCCATTATTTTGCAGATGATTGTGGGGAGGAGGAAGCCATACACAGTTTCATGGTTATCTGTGGGTGTGACTCTTGTTTTGCTGAATTAGTTGTGTGTTAATTATTTTGTCATCTGGGCCAGAAGTGAAATCTCCTTCTTCAAGTTTTATAACACCCCCTTCACAGTCAAGATGTTTGGGTGTTGAGGAAGCCTTGAAAAATATGGTGAGCATCTAGGGAATGCCCAAAGTGCCCCACCCAGATTTTTTACTGGCTGGTGAGGCCATCCCCTAGCTACTATGGGTGTTGGCAACTCACAGATGCCCCCTTCACTGGCAATTGTCCTGGGCTACCAATGATTGATGTGGGGGAGATAATGCTTGTCCCCTTGCCTCACAGTAAGAGTGTTTCTGGCCATAACTTGTGCTCCAGAGCACCCTGTGGGATCAAGTTGAAGCCAGGCAGCAGCTTTGACCCCATCTGTACTTAGCTTATCCTGTTCCGTCACTTCATTTCTCCTGAGGCACTCCTCCCTTACACTGCTTGTCCTAGAATCCCCTACTCAAGCTCTGCTTATAGGGAAGAAATGGAGGACAAGAGGGATGGAGGGAGATTTGCAAATCAAAGTATTTGAATAAAACTAGAATATGTTCTTGTTCATAAAAATCCTCTGGCTACCCCACATCTGGAATGTTCACTGGCTTATTCATTCAAGTTGTTTCCATCTCAGGGTGCATTCACTGGTCTTTCTCTTTTACTCTCTTCTCCTCACTCCTTCCTTTCCAGATTGCCACAAGAAGTTCCAAATTATTCTTGCTATTTCATGTAGCAATCCAGTGTTCCTCAGTTCCAAACTCAACTCCAGGCCCACTTTGGCAAATCAAAGCCATTCAGCAATTCAGAGGAACAAGTTGGGGGGTGGTGTGCTTCATACATGGTTGCTGTGGATGTGAATAGCAATCATTTGCATTTATTCATTACACATATGATCCTGTGTGAGAAGCAAACACACTGTCCTTGGATAATGTCTCGGAAATGTTTAGGACCATTACTGCCCTCCTAGGAATAAAACTCTGACTTTGGACTATACAGCCCTACATGGTCTAATCTCCTTGCCTGGGGCTCTCCTCTGCTTGCCTCTAATTTTCCACACTTTCCATTCATGTAGCTAGACCCTCTTTCTTTCTTTAATGTGGCAAGGTTGTTCCTGACTCAAGATCTTTGCACTGGCTGGTCTCCAGCAAACTTCTTTGCCTATCTTCTCTTGGCTAACTCCTACTAGACCTTAGCTCTCAAATTAAATGCTTTTTCCTTAGAGAGGTTGCTCTGGCCTCTCAAATTGAAGGAGGCCTCCTATTAATTTCTTTCATGGCATTTATCACAGTGATTAGCAAACTTATTTACAAGCCTGTTTGTGTCTTCATTTGTTTACTCCATTATATCCAGGAAGGCAGGACACGTTTTGTTAGTGATATTGCACGTGGCTAGGTCAATGCTTATTAGGTAGGTGTTCAATATTAGTTTGTTGAAGAAATCAAGCAGAGAACCGCGCATAAATTCACCATCACATGCTTGGCTCAGCCCCCATGAAGGTCTCCTGGCTTCAGAACATCACCTTCAGCTCTGCTTCAAGGGTGACCTTTCCAAAGCAAGCATCATCCATCACTTCCCTGCTTCTTATCCTGTCATTGGAGGCCCTCCGTGCCTAGAGACCAGCTGCAGGTCTTTCAACCCGTTTTACCGGACTCCCACACTACATCTTCCGGAGCTCCAGGATTACAAGGCAAACCGGGCTGGCGGGACTACAATTCCTACAATGCCCCGCGATCCTTCGTCACATTATTGGCTGAGCCTCTGGAGGCGTCGAGTAAAACGTGGTTGTGTCGGTTCCTGCGGAGAGCAGCCACCCAGAAGCGGGGTGTCTGCCTGGTAACTCGGGGACTGGTCGCCTTCCCGAGTGTTTACTGGTCTCCTGCTATGGGGGGCACAGAAAGCAGCGAGGGTCGCAGAGTGTCCTTCGGCATGGACGAGGAGGAGCGGGTCCGGGTGCTGCAGGGCATCCGGGTGAGCTAGCCCCCGGCCGGTGGGACGTGTGAACGCGGCTCGGACTAGACGGCGTGGAGGGGGTGGAGGGCTCCAAGGGTGTGGTGGCCTCGGCAGCCTTAGGGGAAGGTGCGTGCAGATAACGGGTGGGTGCGCTTGTTCTTAGAATACTGCCTACTCCTTGGTGGAGAGCGTCTCTCCCGCTGCCCAGTAAATGAGCGAGATGTGGCTCAGGAAATGTCGGGGGACCCCTGTGCGGTGAGTGGCCGCTTCAAGCTTCACCACTATGGTGGCCTCGGGGGAGAAAGAGTGGAGAGCGAGAGAGGTGCTGAGGCCACATTCCAGCTCCAGTTGACGTAATTGTTCCAGACCTGAATTTGTTTCACTGCACACCAAGTGCGTACGTGTTGTTATGTAAACATGAGATGCTCCCAATAATGGACAATTGCAACAGCCTCTTAACTAGGGCTTCTTGGCTTCTCAACACTGCAGCCAATTGGGCACTTTAAAAGTTGTGATTCAAATTCTATACACTTCCCCTTGGTTAAAATCCTAAGCAACGGTTTTAATGAATGCCTAGCGCAATGAAAATGAAAAGGAATGACCCCTCCTTACCTTGTTTTACAAAACTGTGGTGCTGATCTTTCTCACCACACCTTGTGCTAGTTCCTATACCTACCACTCCGCATCTATTCACTAGCCTCAGGACATCCTTATCCCAGCAAGATACCAGCTTGCTCCAAGCACAGGATCTCTGCATTTGCTGTTTTCTCTTCCCCAGCTTTAACAGAATTTTTTTTTTTTTGCGTAATTTAATAATTTGTTTTTAGCTAATAAGTTCCTAAAATTATATAATGTTCTCTAATTCTGTTGTAATAATGATTGTATATTAGCAAATACCTAAATGTTTTCCTGATTGAATTTCATAACAGTATAGAGTAATAAAAACATTTCTAATTCCTTCATTTGAAACAACAGTGTAAACACTAATCCATTATTCTGTCTTGCTGAGAAAACAGGAAGTTTTTTTTAAGATGCTAAATCTAGATTTTGATGATTTTGAAATGAATCCTTGCTTTCCCTATTTCCCTACAAATCAATTATAATTTTTAGGACAGTTATATAGCAGGCTTCTGAAGGTCTTTTTCAGATTTTGTCCTTTCCATCTTTTTTCTGAAAGTAGTTTCTGGGGGATCTGTCAATGCCAAGGGTTCTTATATGATGATTGCTGGGTAATGTTTGCCTAATACTTCAACTTCCACTTGTACTACCTTACTTAGCTCTACAGGGATATATGCAAATGCCAGACTCTTCTGGTAGCTTCCCAATCCATGTTGCCAATCACCTTACCATTGTACCGGATGCTTTTATTTCTCCCAAATCAACATTGTTGCCAGGGTGAGGTGGACTAGCCTCTCAGCCCCTTGGCTTTAATCTGTTTCAGTGCTTGCTCTCCAAGTAGTCTGTTGGCTGCATCACAATTCTGATGAACACTTCCTTTCCAGGCCTTATCTGACGTCTCCCCACCATCCTCCCCCCACCCCAGTTTTTCTTATATCCGGCTTTTATCATTCTTGTTATAGTTAAAATATAATATCTGAGTATCCTTCTCTGACCACTTAAAGTACTTTCCCACCTACAGTGTAACACGTCTATTTTTTTTCACGGTGCTCATAAGCATTTGCAACTTCTATTAATAATTTACTTGTTTTACATTTCCCAGTACAGTGTAAGGTCCTTGAGGCTAAGGCCCTTGTCTGATTTGACACGCTACCCTCAGAACCTAGAATAATAAAAGCAGCTTATATATGAATGCTTAGTCGGGGCATGGGATACCCTTTATAGGTATCCTCTCATTTAATTTTCAACAGCTTGGTGAGAGATGTAGAATTCTATTTGCTCATTTTATAGGCTAAAGACAACCAAGGCACTGAGAGATGAAGTAACTTATCCGGGGTCACCTAGGTGACATGTGGTAGAACTGAGATTGAAGTAGGCAACTCAGGCCTGTTCACTGAATGCTATACTTCCTCCTACATCTGTATCTGGCAGATAGTGGTGCTTTGTGAATGTTGAGTGATTAAATGACTGAATCTGTTGAAACAGAGACTGAGTTTAAATAAAATGCACAGAACTGGGTGTAGGTGAATGAGTTAATTAGGCAAGTGGCTCATGACATCAGGAGGCCCAGCTTTTGGGGGAGCTTTGTCCACAGAGTCCCCCATCCACCACGGATGAGAATAAGTCTACCAAGACATGATCTGCTTGGGGACGAAAGGTGGCCGATCTCTCACAGGAGGACCAAGAGCCTTTTCCTCAACAGCTTTTATTGGGTTCATTTACACAGGAATTCAGGTAAAGCTCATTACTCATTGCTGGGAAGTAAGGATCAAATAACAAGGAACTCTGAGGGCCTATTTTGAGTCAGGGTCAGATAGCTAAAGAGCTGTAAAAAAACTTTAAGGAACAAACTTCTTCCTTGGACCCTTATCATTTAATTGAGAGCATTCTAAACAAAGCAGGTTTCATAGGATTTTACATATTCTTTCTTAGGCCTGATTGTTACAGGGTACAGCCAAGAGGGGGCCCAAATGGGCATTTGAAATGGGGTCCAGAACTTAAAGTGTCCAGGAGATTTAAGATGTCTCCAACCCCCCACCCAGGGTGTGGGTTGAGGGAAGGGACAAATGGAGCAGGGCCACTGAGATCTGTTTTGCATAGCAACAGCCTTGCAGCCACCCTCTGGCATGGTCATTTAACATATCTATAGCCTTTGGCTGGTTGCATGGATATGTTAAATAGCTGTGATCATCTCTGAGCCAGGGGAATGGAAGTAACTTCCCAACAAGACATGACTGGGGGCAGATCCCCCAAGCTACAGCACCTGCGTGGGAGCTCGGAGAAGATTGGCTCCAGGACCTGGGGCCACACCTGCCCAGACTCATGATGGCAGCCCAGTAAAGCTGGAAGGATATGAATTCTGGCAAGTGAAGCTGAGTGTGGGAGGAGTCGGAAATGAGGCTGCAGAGGAAGATTGGCCGCGGGGATTTAAAAACCGAGACTTGGCGGCCATTAAGAGAGAACCACGCGGCTTTGGCAGAGTGAGGAGTCTCCCTTCCTGCAGCCATAGGAGAGAGAACCACGCGGCTTGACAGAGTGGAGACTCCCGCAGCTTTCGGAGGGAGAACCGTGGTGCTTTAGGAAGGAGAGAACCATGCGCAGCCCTGAGAGAAGAGAGAACCACGTGGCTTTGGCAGAGTGGGGACTCTCCCCTTCCCGCAGCCCTGGGAGAGAGAACCACGCGGCTTTGACGGAGTGGAGACTCCTGCATCCCAGAGAGAGAACCATGCTGCTTTGAGGAGAGCCATGCGCAGCCCTGAGAGGAGAGAACCATGTGGCTTTAGCAGAATAGGGAGGACCTCAGCCATTGAGGGAGAACCGTGCTGCTTTAGGAGAGAGAACCACGCGGCCTTGACAGAGTGGAGACTCCCGCAGCCCTGAAAGGGAGAACCACGAGGCCTGGACAGAGCGGGGACCCCCGCAGCTTTAGAAGGGGGAACCACCACCTGGTTTTAGCAGAGATAATGGCGACTCAGCCAAGGGTGCCGGGAACCCAGGGAGGTCTCCCAGTCGAGAAGGAGGACTAACTAAGAACCAGAGGACTGTCTGAGCCATGGACTTCGTTTTCCTTCCCTGAGATACGGTACTCTGGACTGGGCAAAGGGGGAAGGAAGGAAGGACTGTGTCTGTTTGTGGGTGTTTTAAGAGACTCTAGGATTTTTGATGAAGACATTAGGTCACTACTTGAAGTCTGTATAGCATTAAATAAACATTTCCTTTCCTTTTCACGAATCTCTGGCATTGAGAGATGTCTTTCCTCGGGCGGCGGACATAACGGACCCGGGGCCTTCTTTCAATAATAGTATATTGTCTCAGGCCCCCCTTGTCTGTTCTGTAACATGATCACCTGGGGAACCTGCCCTTTCCAGCACAGGGCTGCACCACCCTCTGTCATTGTTTCAGGTTTAGGTGGAGCAAGGAAAGTAAGGCAGCCAAGAGATTAGGAGATTTTCTCGCAGACAATGAGGACTCAGGCTTTGTCAAAGCTGAGGGGCGAGGCCTTTTGCTGTAGCCCCCCAAATCCTTCCTTTGGCCAAAGGGCCTCCCACATGACTATGCCTGTCTTAGATCATTCCCCCCTTGGGGAATCTTACCCACCATTGGCTAACTGACCAAGCATTGGGGGCCAGGCAGGGTGAAGTAAAAGGAGCAGAAGCGGTGCTCCTGCCAGGGAGATAAGCTTTTGTCTCCTTGGTGGCTTACGGCTCAAAGTTGTTCCCTCAGCCTTGGCCTTGGCGGGGGTTACAGCTTCTGATATCAGGCAGGGTGGTTCCCAACACCAGCTTCTGGGCAGATGCTCATTAGCTGTTGTGACCTTGGGTGAACAACTTATGTTTTGAGTCTCAGTCACCATATTTAAAAAAAAATAAAGGGGAAGGTGTGATAATCATAAGTGCTGCCTATGATAAGATGAAGACATGTGTTGAAGTGTTTAGAGAAAGTACAGAGTGCTTTTTAACAGAGTGGGGGCCTCTGACTCTGCGTGCCATAGTACTTAGTGCCTTTGCTGCCTGCTGGGTGTTATCTAATCTTGACCTGACTGGTGGCAATGACAAAATGAGGAGAAGATGACTGGTGTTTGAAGGTTGAGAGGCAAGAGCCTGAATTGAAAGTTGGATACCCTCGCTTCTGTTTGTGTGCTCTACCACCTTACTAGCAGGTATCCTGCTTTTGGGAATGTTGGAAAATAGGTCAGTGGGAGTCCTTTGGGAAGTGATTTCCTTTAAGTTGTCAGAGGAACATCATATGTTTTTGGTATTATATCAGACAAATGCATTTTATTTCTAGTTTTCTTAACAATTCTGCAAAATATAAATTCTCTTTAAAGATGGAGAATCAGGCATAGAAAGATTAAGGAATTTGTCTAAGGTGTTACCTGGGTAACTTCTGGGACTTTAATC